GAGGTTTCCGTGGAATTTTTAGGGTTTTCTGTGGATTCTTGGGATTGGGAATGGATCAAAATAATGGATAAAACATGGGAATAGCATCAAAATTTCCATGGGTTTTTAGGATTTTCACGCATTTTTTTGAGGGGCCGCCCCCATTGTGATCCCGATGACTCCRCATGGCATTCCCATTGGGATCTTTGGGGTTTTTTTTCCATCCTTTCCCCATTCCGAGGTCAGAATTCCATAAATTTTGGGAATTTTGGGAATTACCATATAATATCCAGGCAGCAGCTTCTGCAGGAACTCGGCCTCCTTGTGCTGCACGGTTTTGATGATGAACTCGTCGTCGCTGGACACGTAGAACAGCGAGCCACTGGCACCAGAGTTGGACAGCTCGATCAGGGGGTCATTGCACAGGGAATACTGMGGGGAAAAATTGGGAAAAACTGCTGGAATTGCACTGCGAATGGGATTGTCCTTGGAAATTTGATAGGGAAAACACCTGGGAAGGGAAAGGAAAAAGAGAAAGGGAAGAGAAGGACTGGAGCTGGACAGCTCGATCAGGGGATCATTGCACAGGGAATACTGTGGGGAAAAATTGGGAAAAACTGCTGGAATTGCACTGGGAATGGGGATTATCTTTGGAAATTTGATAGGGAAAGCACCTGGGAAGGGAGTGGGAAAAGGGAAGGGAAAAGGGAAAGGGCAAAAGGGAAGAGGAGGGCTGGCGCTGGACAGCTTGATCAGGGGGTCATTGCACAGGGAATACTGCAGGGAAAAATTGGGAAAAACTGCTGGAATTGCAATGGGAACGGGATTTTCCTTGGAAATTTGATAGGGAAAACAGCTGGGAAGGGAAAGAGAAAAGGGAAAAGAGAAATGGAAAGGGGAAAAGGGAAGAGAAGAGCCTGGAGCTGGACAGCTCGATCAGGGGGTCATTGAACAGGGAATACTGAGGGGAAAAAATGGGAAAAACTGCTGGAATTGCACTGGGAATGGGATTGTCCTTGGAAATTTGATAGGGAAAACACCTGGAAAGGGAAAAGAATGGAAAAGAAAAAGAGAAAATAAAATATAGAAAGAAAAAAGGGAAAGGGGAAAGAGAAAAAGAAGAGGAGAAAAGAATTTGGAGAGAAAACGGGAAGAGGGAGGGGAAAGGGAAAACGGAAGGGAAAAAGGGAAGAGAGAAAAGAGCAAAAGGAGAAAAGAGAAAGGGGAAGTCCAGGGAGGATCAGGAATATCCAGGGATGTTCAGGAATATCCAGGAATGCTCAGGAATATCCAGGGAAGTTCCCATTCCCCACTCACCAGGTAATCGTCAGGCCGGATCCCGAAGAGCTCCCGGAAGTAGCGGAAGGCCACGGGCGCGTAGGTCTTGAAACGGAAATCGTTGTAGTGGTGGGCAGGGGTCAGGTTGGAACCCTCGCTGTGGGATACAGGGAATTGTTGGGATTGGGATTGGGATTGGGATTGGGATTGGGATTGGATTGGGATTGGAT